CCCACCCCACCCCTCTTTCCCCCGTGCCCTCCCAGCCCCAGCAGCGGGCACCCTCCTCTCTCCCACCCGTGGCTGAGGGTCCCTCTCTTGCCCTTCCAGCTCCCCCCACCTTCGTGGAGACCCCCCCGGCGCTGCTGGAGGTGCCCGACGGTGCCACCCTGACCCTGTCCTGCCGCGCCGTGGGCAACCCCCCGCCCGTGGTCACCTGGAGGAGGAGTGACGTGCCCGTGCAGGGCGGGGACGGGATGCAGGTGAGGCCAGAGACTCCCCCGGGGGTGTCCCCCCACCTTGGGATGGCCTTGTCGTGATGGTGGCACCCTCCGTGTTCCTGTCACCGTCCCTTGGTGGCAGTGCCATACCCCTGAACCCCTGAGCTGGAAGGGACCCATGGGACCGCCCCAAATCCGACCCCTGGCACTGCCCAGGACACCCCAAAATCCCCCCGTGTCCCTCAGGGCGTTGTCCAAACGCTGCTGGAGCTCTGGCAGCCTTGGTGCCGTGCCCACTGCCCTGGGGAGGAGCCTGGTCAGTGCCAACCACCCTCTGGAGGAAGGATTTTCCCCAGGTCCAACCTGACCCTGCCCTGGTGTCACCTCCTCGAGTCCTGTCCCGGTCCCAGAGCGAAGAGAGGGGTCCCTGCCCCTCAGGAGGACCCCAGCGAGGTCTCCCCTCAGCCTCCTCTCCTCCAGGCTGCCCAAAACTTGAATATTGGGGCACTTTTGGGGCACCACGATGTAAGGAAGGTGCCAAGCTCTTTGTGAGGGTCCAAAGGAGGGCACCCGAGGTGGGGAAGGACATTGAGGAGCACTTGGAGTTCCAACTCCCTTGGGAAGGGAAGAGGAGGGACAGGCCCTGATCCCGGCGGGAATGGCTGGAGCTGTGCCAGGGCAGGGCTTGGTTGGATGTCACGAGAAGGTTCTTCCCCCAGAGGGTGGTTGGGCACTGCCTGGGGCAGTGGGCACAACCCTGGGGCTACCCAGTGTCCCCTCAGTGTCCCCTCAGTGTCCCCTCAATGTCCCCTCCACCCCCAGGACTGCCAGTCATCATGGTGCCCACCCAGGGGGTGGGTGAGGGATGGTCTGAGGTTCTCGGGGTGTCCCGGGCGGTGCCAGGGCCTGGATCGGGGTGGTCCCGGTGCTGCCGTGGTGGCACTAGGTTTGTGCCACCCCCTGAGTGCTACTGCCACCTTTCCAGGTGGCCAACGGCACCCTGAGCGTGGCGGCCGTGGGCCGAGCCAGCGCGGGCACCTACACGTGCCATGCCGCCAGCACCGAGGGCACCGTCACCCACACCACCCGCGTGCTCGTGCAGGGTAAGGACGGGGGGTCCTGGCACTGCCACCCCCCCCGACACTGTGTCCCCCCAGAATGTCACCGTGAACGTGTCCCCTCAGTGTCCTTCCAGCGTCCCCTCTGCCCCCCCACCCCAGAACGTCACCATAAACGTGTCCCCTCAGTGTCCCCTCAGTGTCCCCTCAGTGTCCCCCTCACCCCAGGGCCACCAGTGATCGTGGTGACCCCCCAGAACATCACTGTGAATGTGTCCCTTCAGTGTCCCCTCAGTGTCCCCTCAGTGTCCCCTCAGTGTCCCCTCAATGTCGTGTCCCTTCAGTGTCCCTTCAGGTGTCCCTCAGTGTCCCTTCAGGTGTCCCTCAGTGTCCCCTCGTTGTCCCCTCAGTGTCCCCTCAATGTCGTGTCCCTCAGTGTCCCCTCAGTGTCCCCTCAGTGTCATGTCTCCCCCCAGGGCCGCCGGTGATCGTGGTGCCCCCCCCAGAACGTGACCGTGAACATGTCCCCTCAGTGTTGTGTCCCCTCAGTGTCCCCTCTGTCCCCAGGGCCGCCGGTGATCGTGGTGACCCCCAGAACGTGACCGTGAACGTGTCCCCTCAGTGTTGTGTCCCCTCAGTGTCCCTCAGTGTCCCCTCGGTGTCCCCTCAGTGTCCCCTCAATGTCGTGTCCCTCAGTGTCCCCTCAGTGTCCCCTCAGTGTCCTGTCCCCCCCCAGGGCCGCCGGTGATCGTGGTGCCCCCCCAGAACGTGACGGTGAACGTGTCCCAGGACGCGTTCCTGGCCTGCCAGGCCGAGGCCTACCCGGGCAACCTCACCTACTCCTGGTTCCAGGGTGGCACCAACGTCTTCCACCTCAGGTGGGCCGGGAACGGGGGGG